GACAGTTTTTTCTCGAATGCTAAACATTGCTAGAATCATTATGCCTATCTGTCAAATGTGATGTGTCCCGATTTTTACCCAACATCACTGGAGATAGAAGGGTAATCCGATTTGAGCAGTAGCATCAATCTAAGTCAGCAAGACTTTACCAGCAGACAGCGGGTACCACGCACACTAGTTCTACATGTATAATATACTATGAGTCGAGGCACGTATCTATCGATATGTAGCCGAGTATCTCTCAAAGATGCACGCAAACTCGCACCAAAGCGATACTGAATGCAATTTTCACAGGGCCATCTCTATAAATCCGGGATGTTCGAGTGCTATAAAAAAGCCTGCACAAACGACAAAACTTCACGCGCACACAACTCGTGAAGAAACACGCCTCTGGTAACTAAAGGCATCATCGTACAATCTTCCATCACATGTCAGCACACCGACATGTACATGCGCACACACACAAAAAATCGATCACCTCATCTCATCAAGCTGCTGTATGGAAAAGCCGCGCAACCGCGAACAAAACGAGCATCAATACGCGAGATGAGTATTAGTCAAGAATGGGCGCGCGCATAATATGTCGCGAGCTGAGTGTTTAACAGTTGAAACATGTGTACTCAAGTCGCCTGTGTGCTGAGAGTGGTTACGACTGCAATGTTTATCGAGAAGTTGCTGTTGAGAGAAATAGAAGAGCAACCCAGAGCGTACATGCTGTGTAGCATATAAAAATTTTCTTAATTTACACCATATTACTTATTATGTTCCAGAGGTTTCTACGTGGAGTTGTGCTTCATCTAAAATGTCCATACTAACCGTTTTACCATGCATTCATCTGATACACTGATTTGTAAATATTTTATAGAGACTTCACTATAGTTATGTATAAAGTATTATAAGTTGATAGGGTTAACATGCTCAATCACAATCAACGCATACAAGACCGCTAACCAAGTGAGTAAACATTCGTTTATAATTATCATAATTTACCCCACCGCTGGCCTGTCATGTATACACTATATCTACTTTTTTATTATGCAGCTACGATTTCAGAACCATTGTACATTCGAACAGCTTATGCTCTTGCTTTCATAGAAATAATTCATTTATATGCAATGTTCACCATGTCGCGCCACAGCATTCCTAGCATACCAATGGACACAGGCCCCACTCGCTGCCTGTCTCTATCTACCTATCAACAATTCGTTTCTATTCATTCCTACGATCGACAAGGATAGCTTGACCCCTCAACCAGTCTAAGACTGCTCCCAGCAGATCTCTACATATTCCACCAACAATAACACGCAAACCGATTGTCCCTATTTCATAGAATGGAGTTCAAATGAAATACTGCCAACCCATACGTACATGCTGTTAAATAACTTTTCTCATGGCCACCATATTACATTAGTCCAGGGTTCTAAGTTGGTTCTGCTTCATGTAAATGTCATACTAACATTTCCGCCATCTTATATCTTATTACACGGATTTGTAATATGATATCTTGTGGCAACTGTATATTTCGATTTTACCCAATTTCCTATTGTTTCGCAATTATTAGTAGTATGAATAGTACACGATTTACCCAGCGCAGCGGTACCCGCACTAGTGGTTATAATTTTTCTGACGTAATGGTATTTCACGTGCCGATGGAAACGCTGTGATTGGCCATTGTAAAGTGTCGCGTGCACACTCGCTGGAAATTCGAATCGATCCTCACATATTTTGTCGTCGAGGTTGCGCCGTCGATTTGTCAGCGTGTGTAGTGCATATTGCTCATGAGAACACAATAGAGTTTCTAATTTCTCTGCAAAGGCTCGTTTGTCGTTCGCGTCGGTCGCTGTCGCTGCCGTGTGTCTTGCACCAACCAGGCCCTAAACTAACCTCTAACCCTAGAGCCTAACCCTTAGTAAATATACCGTAGAAAAGAATAACAATATGGGTCCAAAAATTTATGCGTTAAATGAATAGATTTGCGTGTAATGTATAGTGGTCACGCTCTTAAATATGTGAAAGGGCTCTGATTGGGTAAAAACGGCCATACATTACCTCGTTGAATTATTCTATTTTTTCTGTCTGCGGTAAAAAATTATTATTTCCTTGTAATACGACGGCCAACCTAGCGATTTTTCTTGTCTCTTTTCCTTTTTTTTCTTCCAATTTTTTTTTTTTGTTTTTTTTTTCTTTTTTTACATTTTTTTTTATTTCTCTTTTTTTTTTTGATCTTTTTTTTTTAGTTGGTCTTTGAATTGTTGTGCGTGGGACTCAATTTTGCCAATTTCGTTCATACTTCTTCAAGTGTTTTGCTTGAATAATCGATATTCATTTTTTGTTCTTTATTCTTGCTTTTTGTGCTATCAATCTTGTTTTTGTTTTTGTCTCCGTTATTTTTTCTTTGTGTTTTTTTTTTTTTTTTTTTTTTGGTTCCTCTTTTTTTTTTGCAATTCTTTTGTTTCTGTTTTTACACTTGCCTTGTATTTTTTTTTTATTTCTGTTTGAATAGTTTCCTGCAGATTTTTTTTTCTCATTTTTTATTCCTGTCGTTTTTTTTTTTTCATACTATTAAAAGTCGTGTTTAGTTGTATAGATTCCATGTCTTGTTTTTTATGAGCATTATTTTTTTTTTTTTTTGGTGTTTCTCTCTTTTGTCGTTTTTACATTTTTTTTTTTTTTTCTCTGATTTTTGTTCGTTTTTTTTTTTTTCTTTCTTTTTTTTTTCGTTTTTGTATTATTCTTCTTTTTTTTTCTTCTGGCTTTTTTTTTTTTTTTTTTCGTCTCTGTTCAGTGTTTTCTTGGTTATTGTCTGTGTTCTCGCATATTTTTATCTTGCAACCTAGATTCGGGTTTGATTCGTGCTGGTGCGCGAGAACGGACTAGGTAGGGCTATTCGTTTTTGTCCGTGCATATTTATTTCTGTTTGATTTTCTGCATTATTTTTTCTTTTGTATTGTGTCTGTCCTTTTGTCGTTATTATTTTTTTCTGTTCTTTTTATGTGTTCTTGCCGTCTTGTGCATATCGTTCTTTTGGTGTTTCCTCTTTGACATTGGTTTTTCAGGTATGACAGGTCAAGGTGAGAGAATTCTTTTTGCGACTAAACGTGTAAGGCGTCTTGACCTTCTGTGTTCAAGCAAGCGGCGTCCGAATCGCTTCATTCAGGGTGTAGCGATTGTTGGTTCTGATTGTTGATTGCTCTTGTGTAGTTTTTGATTAGTTGTTGTTTTATTGTTCTGTTTTTTGATTTTCTTTTTTTTTTCTGTTTTTTGTGGTTCTTTTGTTTTTCTGTCTTGGTTCCTTTCTTTTTTTAAGCTATTTCTATTTTCTTTATATTCTCTATTTTTTTAAGCCTGGCCTAAATTGGTTTTATTTTTTTTTTATTCTTTACTGGTAGAGCTTATTTGGTGAATCGATTTTGCTGGTTGTTTCCTTTGTTTCTGCTTCTTTTTTTTTATTATTTTTCTATTTTTTTTTTTTTTTCAGTTTTTGTTTCTTTCTATTTTTAGTTTCTCTTGTTAATATTGGTTCTATTATCTTTTTTTACTTTTGTTGTCTGTTAGTCATGGTATCATGGCTGGTTTGCCTGATTGTTCGTTTTAATTGTGTTTCAGTTATGAATTTGATTATAATTTCCGTTTTCTATGTTTTCTGATTATTTATTTTTTTATTTATCTTTTTTTTTTTGTAGATTTTCTCACATGATTGATTGATTAACTAATCGATGATAATCATAGTTAATTGTGTCGTCAGCCATTCTCTCTGAGGACGGCAATTCCACTGCGCTAAAATCGTATAGATCCGGCGCGCGCCCCCCGATGAACTTGTGATTCAATACCACAAAGGCTATTTAGCGTTCAGCTTATGGTACAATGTATCGTATAAAATGCTATAGTCATTCATGATGCACTGTTCTCCTGATTATCGTTTAGACAGAGGGGTGGGGGGGGGGGGGGGGTTGCCATGGATTTACTTCCATCTCTTTCCCTGGGCAGTTCGAAGTGTTATCAACCTCCCACTTGACAGGCAAACGTGAAAAAAGCAACAAACACGCCTAACTCGATACCTACAAGACAACTCTGCAAACTCGCTCAGGTAGGTTGTAAGGGACTGCTCTGCCAATACTCAATACATACTGCGGTGGTAGTTTTTGAATATATGAGTACATTAACATAATATCAATAATTATTATATTATTATTATATATTATTAATAAGAATTAATGCTTAATGTAATCAAGCAAGTCATTGGACTCATTTTTTAAATAGATGATTGTGATGTTCTAGCATTTTTAGCCGAGGCATATGTCTAGGAAGATGGCGATTAAGCTGTAGCAGATTCTACAGAGAATGCACGACTTTTGATTGTGCCTGGCGGACAAGGAGAAGTGCTTTCTCCAACGACGACCCACTGAATAATATCGAGACGAGGAATAATGAAGACCTCACGAGGTATCGGACACCTGTTCTAGAGGTTGTGGCAACTGCTAATATGGCCTCCTCGTGTGAACTGATCAAATTGTAAAGTTTGCATTATCGCTGCATTTTCTGACCTTACAGCAGGGTACTCACCTAGTTTTGTCATAATGCCGCACAGCTCGGTCTAGGACAAGGCGGTTCTTAACCTGGGGGTGTTTTGGGGTTTCCAGGGGTCCATCACCCGGGTCATGAAGAAAAATCGTATTTAATTTTATATAATTATCAGGTGCACAATTTTTTGTTCCTCACTCCGACTCACATAAATTTGGTGTCCCCAAAGCACTTGCCCGAAATTTTTTTAATCGCCTGAATGCCTGGAAAGCAATTTCAGGCCAATCCATTGACTAGATTGGCAGATCATGTTTCCATAAATTGGCTGTTTTTTTTACATTTTTGTTTCGGGGGTCACGGTACTGACCAAGAATGTCTGATCGGGTCGTGGGGCCAAAAAGGTTAAGAGCCACTGTGTCTAGGAGCTATGCAGCTGCTAGATGGTTTCTCAGTGTGAGCGTATGTTGGCACTCTTGCAGAAGCTACTCACGGACCTGGCAGCCAATAGCGGCCGACCCGACCAGATCAACAAGATAGCCGAAGATATCTTAGTGACCAGTCACACGATCAAGGAGCCGGTCAAGAAGCGGCAGAAGGAGATCAATGACCGGTGGAAGAATCTGAACAAGCTTCGTCTAGCAAAGGAGAAATCGCTCGAGGGTGCATCCAGGTGAATCGAAGTTTCTGCTCACATTCGGTACTAACTGTGAGGATGGTTGCTCCGTGTGATATCTGCTGTGATATCTGCTGTGATATCTGGTAAACTCCTGTTAACCATTCTGCATTATCGAGGAATATGTTCTGTAGCCTCCCATTCAAACTGGCGATGGCGTGTTTCTTATTGATCTATTACTTGTGCCTTTTGTGTATCATTGAGTGTTGTTTTCATCATCACGATATGTGTGCAATTTTTGTGATCGCTGGTGCTCAAGCAACATTTATACATGGTCCATTGTACACTACAGCTCTCAATAACGTTTTTGGCATCCCGGAATCGATATTTCCACATTCAATTTCCACAGTTAAACATGACTGGTTTCAATGCGAAGATCGATTGCACAGTTCAGAAATGTAATACCAAACCCATGTCATCGGTTAGACTATTGAATCACATGGGGATAGGTCAGAGTCGATTGTCCAACCCACCGACTCGTGATAACAATGTCCTGCCAGAAACGTCTGTTGTTTTTTACTATTTTTGTATTAATCATGTTTACTTGTATTTATAATATAATATATATATATATATATTTATATATATATATTATATATATATATAATATATACATAAATATATTATATATTATATACTATTACACCACTGCTATTGTATCTATTTGCCGCGTCACTAAATCGCGTGTTTCTTCGCCCTGCAGTCTGGATCTGTTCGATCGTAAGTGCGCGGACACGATGACGCGGATCGACGAGAAGTCTGCGGCGGGCTCGACGATACCATGGACACGGGCAGGAGCCTGCAGGCGGTGCGCTCGCTGCAGAAGCAACACGAGAACATCGCGCGCGAACTCAGACCCGTGCAGGACGAGATGAAGAAAATCGGCCTGTTGTCTGCGACGTACGTACACTACAGAGAGAGAGAGAGATGGCCACATACATGCCGCAAATTACATACACGCGATGATTGTCTCCACTAGATTCACGTACGTGCCTGTTGTGCGAGCGATTCACATACACGCCAAATTACATACACGCGATGATTGTCTCCACTAGATTCACGTACGCGCCTGTTGTGCGTGCGACTCACATACACCAGGGTTTCATCTCATCTGGTGGTAGCTCCGCATTGCTGCGCTCACGCGTGAAATCCGACGGTCGTCGAGATGCCGTGTAGGGGTGAGGGAGGGCAGGGTGTGCTGAGCTATGCACATACATGCTGGTTGCTCCTTATCTGGTGGTCGTTGCGCACCGCTGCGCATCGTCACAAATGAGACGAAACAGAATTTGCTCTTTATTTTTCAGTCATCTGTCGTATAAATACGTACAGCAGTAGTTAAAAGTAGCTGTGCGTAATTGTCGAGTTGAAGAGCCGCGAGTAGAAGAGAATCGGTTTGAGCCATTCGTGAACTGATGCGCATGCAGCTTACGTTCGTTTGCTGTTGTAGTGTGCAGTCAGCCTACCCAGAACAGGCCAAGCATGTCAGCACAAAGGAGGGAGAGCTGCAGAAAGCATGGAATGCTCTCGCGGAAAAGGCTGACACGACCAAAGCTCAGATGGAAGAATCGCATGGACAAAGGATCTTCATAGCTGAAGCAGACGACCTGGTAGGCTAGCTGATGCAGCTTACGCATGCCCTCGTCAACTTGGATGAGCTTAGAATGTTTAGGCGACTTATTCGTGCAAAGGAGTGCCCTCTGAAAGGACGGTGCTCTGTTCAATTTTGAATTTTAGTTTTAATTATTGATGAAACTTAATTAACCCCGTGAAGCCCATCCACGGACCCCAAAGGAGTCCATGGACCACAGGTTAAGAACCACCGGTTTAAGAGTATGTTGTGTGGTACCTCACGCCGTGCGTGTTGTATCTTGTAGATGAACTGGGCCGAGGGTGTGAAGGATCTGCTGAGGCAGGACGAGCGAGCGTCGGACGTGGCGACGGCCGAGGACCAGCTGAAGAGACACCAGGACCTAGCAGACGACATCAAGGCTCACGAAGACACGTACGTGTGTGTGTGGGGGATGTGTGTGTATGTGTGCGTGCATGGGGTGTGTGTGTGGGTGCGTGCGTGCGTGCGTGCGTGTATGTGTGTGCGTGCATGCGTGTGTGTGTGTGTGTGTGCGTGCGCGTGCGTGCGCGTGCGTGCGCACGTGTGCGTGCATGGGGTGTGTGTGTGTGCGCGCGTGCGTGCATGTGAACTTTGACTAGTAGTTGTTTTGAAACATGTAATCCATTTTTTGAAAACCACGCTTTCACGTTAACCCACGATCGCCACTCTTATCGACGTAATGAGA